AACACAAAAAGCCCGTTCTGGTGAAGCCATCCTCCCTGCCTGTCTGACAGAGCCCGTGGGTGGAGAGGAGGTGTAGCCTAAATTTGAATCAAGGTCATATTTCCTCAGGCGTTGGAAATGTAGGCCAACTTTACCCTTTTTCGATGGCTGCTAATGCGGGGAGAGGAATGTGTGCTAAGCTACTTATTCATTCACATTAAAAAAAATTTATCATAAATGTGTAATTTCATTCCCTCTGTGGGGTTGCTGATGTGTACTCCCATTCATTTTGTTTTTAAAAAGTGTGGAATTGAAGGGCCACTGACTCTTAGTTTTTAGATTTCACTAGGACTAAAAATTGGCTTAAAAAAGTCTTAATAGATAAATATTGAGAACAGTAGCTTAGAAGCAAAAAATTATAAAATGACTAAATGAGGGCCGGTGTAGGGTTTGTCTTTTTTTATTTCTTTTTTTTTTTAGGGGCTGCTTCTGTATGACTTTTTCATTTCCTTTTAGGAGACGTCGAGCAGGTACTAAACCGGATCTCCCAGGAGACAGATTGTTAATTCTCATTTTTCCTTGTAAGCCGCTTTAGATAAAAACTTATTTCTAAATGCATAAATCCGAATGTGAGACCACCAGCAGATTTAACTCAACTCATATAGAGCATATCCTTTTGATAAATCCTCATAAAGAACTGGCTCTTTACACTATCTACTCAGAGCTTTCCCTTCGGCTGATGTTGTAGAATAAGAATCTAAAGTTTAGAATCTGCTTTTTTTTTCCACCTTCATTTTCCCTGGAAGCACATCAGAGAAGAACCAGAAGTCCTCGTTTCCTTTGTGTAGCTGACACGCCACATCAGAGTTGTACTGATGTTTGGAGCTAATGGGTTGTATCAACATATAGGAAAAGAGTTGGAATACATGTTAAAACCCAGAGGGACAAAGGTTTTGTCTCACCGTAAATCAGTGAATTCTGAGACGATAATCTAAGTTTTAGCAGGGTCTTCGGTGTGGAAAGGAGGGACGGCAGCAGCCGGAGCCCTGTTCGTGATCAAGATGAATTAAAGCGAGCTCTGGGGAGCCCGTTAGGCGCGTGGGGGGCGGGGCTAAAGCCGCCACCTGCAGATGTGGTGCAGATGCCCGTCTGCACGCACACACCTTACGAAACGCTGATGAACGACTAAAACTTGTATAAACTCGCGCAGCATGTGCGGGACCCACCAGACACGGGGCTCCATCCTCCTTCCGTATAATTGGGCTGTCGGATTTATTGCGGGGAGTGTTCACCTTTTTTCTGATGTGATGTGTCCACGGGGCATAAAAACATCACAAAAGCGTCTGTCATGTTTAAGCGTCTAGTCATCAGGAATCTCCGCCGGCCAGTTCGAGGCACGCAAAGCGACGGGGCGGCAACCTCGCTCCGCCACGCGGCTCCTCTGTGCGGTCGGGGTTTTTTTTTGTTTATTTTTGTCCTCCAGCCTTCACACGAGGCAAAACGAAGGAAGGCGTGAGCGCCGTTTGTCATCGCACGCGCCTCCGTTCGCTCTGCCTCTGCAGATGTTTTCTCCAGGTGTGCTGTCATCAGTCAGAGGATGTTTTAAACTGGAGCACTGTTGAATAAATCAGAGCTTTTTGACATCTTTCTCCTCCAGGAAAAAAACACATGTGTTGTTATTATATGTGATGTACATATGCTGTCTTTTTGGTCTCTTTACAGAACGGAACAAAGAAATCCTGGGACTTCATGCGAACCCATGACAGGTAAAAACACAGTTCCTCTTAAGGTCTCTGCCCCCAGACTGCTCGGACGGGGGGGCTCCATGCAGTCTGGCCCGGCCCGCCAAGCCGGGCGAAAAAAAGCTCCACCGCCCGTGGACGCCCGCCAGAAAATCTCTCAAACATGCTTGTTCATGTCCGACGACATGCAGCAATCCGAAGAGATTTTCCCCCAAAGGATTCAAAGCCGGCGGGGCCCCCAGCCACCATCCAGCCAGCAGAAATGAATGAATGAAATGAAATATATTTAAAAGAATAGCTTTTTTTTTTAAAAATGTGATGATTAAAGCCTTGCTGGAGCCCTCTCCCTCGTACCTTTTTTCCTCCTGCTATTTTTATAGCTTCATGAATGCGCCTCATTCAGACTAAATTGTGACCAGCTAGTCTAGATGAAACAAAATGGCCATAAAACTCACAAAACCCTACGAGAAATGTCACACACCTGTGCCAAAGCCCCGGTGCCCATTCTCCCAGACTGCCTAGAGGCGGGTGTAAGGTCATTTGAGCCCTTTTTCCTCCAGGACAGGCGCTTTTTAATAGATAGCACCCCTTTAGAGAAAAGAGGTAAATCTCAAACCAGCATTTTCAGACTTGTGAGAAGATTCGAAAAGGAAATCCTGCTCTAAAATTACAGGCAATGTTGAAGGGAACCAGGAATGTTGATCACTTTTGCAAAAGTGTGACCCAGACTGAACCAGTTTTTGTGAGGCTCAAAATGAAGCAAAATATTAAATAATTCAGTTCGGTTTTAAAGGGATGCAAACCTACTCTGACTGAAGAAATACACTGCATGTGTTATTGAGTTTTATAAAAGCAGAATAACAGATCCAGATAATAATATTCAGGATTCGGTCACTCTATGGATACACTCAATTTGGACTCACGTGTTTGTATATTGCTGTGGGTCTGAGTTTAAAAAAGTGCCTCCAAATGAGCCCGTTTCAGGCTTAAACTCTTGATAAATACTCCAAAAAAAGATCTCCGGTAGTGGGACGACCACATCCGCAGAGTTGTCCCCAAAAAACTTCAGCCGAATCTTTAACTTTTGCTTAAACCCTTAAACCCTCCACGTGGGAAAGAGCACACTTCCTTTTCGCAGAGTTCACTTCCAAACGAACCTCGGCCCCTTGACTTCTCTTTTGCCCGCACTAAAACAAACACTTCCACGTTTCTGTGAGAAAAGGCTTCATTAGGCGCGACCTCGCTGAGCCGAGGCCGTCGCCCGGCCCCCAGAAGTGTGCGGTCAAGGCTTTCCAAGGCTAGTGGGCAAAAAAAAAAGGGAAGAACTGAACTGGCTAACCTGGCTAACACCTGTGTTTTACCAACATGGAGGACGAGTATTTGGAAGCACTATATGAAGCTCTAAGGATAATGAATGAAGCCACTGAGCTTTGGCTGGTGGCTGTCATTGCCTCGCTTCTGGAGTAGGATCATGGATTATATAGCACTTAACCCAGATTTTGGAACCCGGCGACGACATCTTGATGCCGTTAAGCTTTCAACTAGTGGTTCCTTTTTAGTCGTGTCCTTGGATTTTTCTGTAAACGTCCCCGTCTCTCCTGCCGTTTAATCCCGATCTCGGCAGAGGAAGTTTAACCGAGCGTGAAAAGACCCGAGCATCCGTTTAGCCTTTCTTGGTCGAGCCACTAGCTGTTTTTTTTTTCTTTCAGGGGGAAAGCAGTAGAACAGAACTGGTGTGTGAAGGCTCTACAAAGCGGCCACAAGGGACAGCGCTCTCGCCTCAGGCCCGTGTGTCCCACTTTTAGAGCAGACCTTCCACGCAATCTTAGCCATATTTATCATCCTCTTATCCATCAGTAATCTGTTTTCACTTCTTTTCCCATTTCTTTTTTTTTTTTTGGTTTAGTGTTTGGAAATTGATTGAAGATTTCAGATCTTGAATTTGACTGATTGCTTTACAGCTTCTCCACACGTGGAGACCAGCTGAACTCCAAACAGACCTATTTAAACTATTATATTACTCTCAGTATCATCAGGAAGGTTTTCTTTAGCATTGTTAGACTAGAATTTGTAAGACGTGTTTTTTTTTTCATGGTTGATGGCTGTTCATTGTGGTAGTTGTAAAGATTTCTGGGCCATTACTGATAAATAGATTATTATTGATCTCTGCTAGAGCGGAAGAAACAGGCTTCAGGTTTTACCTGATGTAGTTGTTGAGGGTTTTAAAATTTTTTCGATTTGTGGTCACGAACAAAAAAGTTAATCCGGTGAGAACTGAAATTATTCAGAGGTCTGTGGGCGTAGCTGAAGGATCTGATACAAATGGGCACAAACTATTATCAGCTCTGGAGCAGAAGCCGAGTCCTGGTTCCCTCTCAGCCTGGGAAAGACAGGGCAGGGCTTCCTGCTGCCTCAGACGCATCCGCTTTTCCCAACGCGGAGCCCAGGACCAACACACACTCCAACACACACTCTCCCACCGCGCCGACCCCTCCGCGGCCCACTCTGACCTTCCTTCTTGTTTTATTTCCGTTTCCTGGTGGCGACCGGTCCACGTCTCGGTGATGTGACCCTCTGATCTGTGGATTCTGGTTCTTATTTTAGAAAAGAGTCGAGTAGGAATGGAGGTTATTTCTGGGCCGTTTTATTTTTGTTTGCGGCAGGAAACGTCCAGTCCTTTTTAGACATTTGGTGCATTGCTATTGGTTGGTTTTGTACTCAGTTTCATCCGGTATTAAAACTATGTTCAGAATTAAGAATGTTTGTTAAGAATGTTTCTTAACAGTCTTTTGCCAAAAAAAGGATTTATCCTCCATTTTTGTAATTGAAGAAACCCTAATGTGTCTTTGGTTGTCTGGTATGAGACATCTCTAGACAATAAAAAAGAAGGATTATGACAGCTCTAAACTTAATTCTCCTCATGAAAACTGGAAAAATTACATGCAAGTGTTACTGAAATGGAGATATCTACAGGTAACCTACAGATTATATCTTAATAATAGAATATTTTTTGTGTTGCTACTTGTCTAAAATGTTTTGCGAAACCCTGAAAATAAGACGGGGTCAGATGCCATTTAAAAAAAAAAAAAGGTAATATGCATAGAGATTTTTTTAAGTTTCCAAAAAAGCAAAATGAGGAAGGATAAACGTCGACGGGCCTTAATGCATTAGAGGTTTTCTTCTCTCTGCTCTCTAAGAACGTTCCTTCTTTTCCTGGCAACATGGCCCAAAAACCGAAATCAAATGTTTTTATCTCCAGAGCTCCGGTGTAAAAGCAGCCGTGAGTCACGCCGTGCTCAGACCAAACGGGGGGTGAACCAAGTGGGCGACGTTACACAGAAAACGAATGGGGGATGAGGACGGGAGCCTTTTAGTGCCGGGCCTCTTTAACGGCCGCTGATTTTCGAGTGCGAGTCCAAATCCTCCAGCCTGAACAGACGAGCCCCATCCAGGTCCACCCGGACCTCGTCTGGAGCTAAAAATATTTACCTCCTCCTGGCTGTCACTTATCAGTCTGTTTCACCACAAACCGGGCCGTGGGTTTAACACGACTGCCTCGCTCTCTGAAGGACAAAGTGAGCAGTGGCCTGATCCCTGAGGGTAGAACAAGGTGGAAATAAAAGGTGGAACTTTTGGTCTGAACATGGCTCTGCAGCCTTAATGGAGATTATGCCTCGCATAATTGCTAATGTGAGGGTTAAGCCTTAATCCCCTTCTTTTCTTCTCCCTCTTCCTGCAGCGTGTCGGTGCTGATCTTCAACACCAGCTCGCACTGTTTTATCCTCGTCAAGCAGTTCCGTCCAGGTAGGGTTTTTTTTTTTTTTTCTTTCTGGTTTTTCTTTGGCTCTCCGTACAGTTCAGTCCTCTCATTTTTTTGTCACCGGCCTAGATGGAGATTGTTGGATTGTTGTACATCCTGTGGGCACTTTCGCTGAGATGGGGGGGGGGAGGAAAAAAGAAACAAAAAAGCAGCACTTTACAAAGCCTGTTTGTTCAACTGGATTGTTCCGACAATGGCGTCTCAGAAATAGAACGCCGTCACAAAGCGCTCCGACCTCCTTTGTTGGAAGTCGCCGAGGGCTTTTTCAGACCGCCCGTGTGTTAAATTCAAGGAAGTCTGGGCATTGATATGTTTTTCCGGCCATCACTTGTCAATGTTTCGGAGTGGGGTGGGGGGTGCCTGCAACCTTTTTTAACATGGAGTTCTTTTTAGAGAAAGCAAGTTGTCTTGGAAATATGTATTTCCTACCTGCAGCTGTCTACATGTGCGAGTGGGAAAGGGCCAAAACGGAGCCGCCCAAGCCCGCCGAGGAGGGCGCCGCCGAGGCCGCCGCCCCCGAGCCCCCGGAGGGCCAGCCGGCCCCGGGGGAGGAGGGCTCCTCCCAGTGGCCCCCGGCCTCGGCGGGGGTCACCTACGAGCTCTGCGCCGGCCTGGTGGACAAGCCCGACCTGGCCCTGGAGGAGATCGCCCGACAGGAGGTGCTGGAGGAGTGCGGCTACGACGTGCCGGCCTCCAAGCTGAAGAGGATCACCTCTTACAGGTTAGCCGGGCGGACGCTAACTGAACCCCGAATGCTGTCGACCAATCCCGCTTTAGCACGCGGGGAGATTCAGCCCCACCATCAGTACTACGTGATCCACATAAAGAGAACTGTACCTGGAGACTAATTAAGCAAACTTCTAAATGCCCATTTTTCTAGAGCCCTAGCTTAGTTTTAGTTAGTTAGAAACAATAAAACTGTGTAAGAATACTGAATGATATCCATTATGCTGCGGTCAGAGGTTGATCACTTATGGGGGAGCTTGTGAAATTGGAAACTGAAAGTGCTCCAGCTGTGTAAGTGAGATGGAAGGCAGCGTGGGGCCAGCCATCCGTCTCTGTCAACTTCTCACGAAGCGCCTGGAGCGTGAGCTGGAGCAGGGCGGCTAAAAGAGGCAGGAAGCGAACGGGCCCACATCAGAGCCCAGCAGCTGGACGCCCGCGAACCGGACGCTCCCATAAGCGTGTTTATGATTTGACTGGGACGCCTCCTCCGGCCCCGGCCGTGTTGTCTGTGACGCCTGTTATGTGTGGGCCGCCTCCACTGTACAGGACAGGTATCATCTTAACCCGCACAACCCCCATGAGAGGGTGCTTTTAAACAGAAGCACTCCATGTAGCAAAGCTGCTAGCGGATAACCCGCCCAGGCCGGCTGCTGCAGAAAAATACGGCATTTACTGAGAACGTGAGAAAAAAAAGCTGGGTATTATTGCCATTAAAGACAACCCAGTCTCCAGACAGGTTGAGAATTTCTCTAATGCAGATGTCTTGGAGCAGGGAGAGAAAAACGCTCCATTAAACCATACATTTTCTATGCAGACCTTTTTACAAGCACCCACAGCTAGAAAAGCACTAAAGTAAAAAGACTCCTTTCTAAGAACAAATGTTTTTTTGGGCTAAGATAGCTGATTCCCTCAATTATTTTGACCGATATTGATCACGCATAGATGCTTTAAAAAGTAATGCAAAGCCCGGATGCATATTTGAAGGGGAGAAAAAGCCCCCATTTCTCAGACGAAGCTAATAAAAACTTGGGACATTTGCTTTCTGTCCCCCACAGGTCGGGCGTGGGGGTCACGGGAGCCAAGCAGACCATGTTCTACGCCGAGGTGTCCGACGAAAACTGCGTGGGGGCGGGCGGAGGTGAGCCCCGCGAGGGGGAGCTCATCGAGGTGGTCAAAGTCCCGCTGCACGAGGCCATGACGTTCGCCTACGACGAGCGCATCCCCAAAACCATGGGCGTCATTTTTAGCTTCATCTGGTTCCATAATAACATGTCTCCCAAGTACAAGATCTCCACCAACGTGTAACTAGTTGTAACGAAGCACTCTTTCTATCGTTTATTGCTAATTAAATCAAACACTGGCCCAGCACAAACCACTTTTTCTCCTTACGGCTCGTCATCCTGTTTTGCCTTTTTTTTGCTGATCGGTACACGATTAAGGGAGGGGCCCTTTGTCTTGTTGCCAGGTGTTACTTTCTGTAATTCAGTCTTATTTTCTTTTTCTTTTTTTATCCAGTACTTTTCCTTAAAAAACAAACTTGCCATAGCTGGTCGTCACTGGCACTTTCCCCCCCCTCCCCCCCCTCCTTTTTTCCGCACACATTTCATTTCCTGTGCCGTCTGATGTAAATGGCTGCATATCACTGATGGCTATCGCCTGCCGTTGTGAAAAAGGAACGCTCCACTGCTTTTGCTGTCGGCCTGGACTGACTTTGGCCATCTTGAAGGCACCTCATTGCATCCTGTCGGCCTTCAAAGTCAGCATTTAATGACACAATCAGTTATTATAACACAGCTTCCTGACTTTAAAACCTATATCTTGAGTTGGAAAAGAAGGTTTATGTGTTTTTTACTTGAATATGTCCAACTCTGAACTGAAAATTCCATCATAATAATGCAGTCCATCCCTCTGTACTCAACACTGATCAAAGCCGGGATCGGCCTGAGTTTGCAAAAACTCGTTAGCGTTCGAAAAGTTCATTTGAAGAATCTCAATCGGCACAGATGATGACCTAAAGCCAGAAACCAGCAAAAACCGTGGAGCGTTCCTTTTTTTAAATTATAAATGACCCAGTAATGCAAAAACTCTCGCTTGTTATCTGTGGGGCCTTGTAATGATGGGGGCGTTCCGCTATCTCTCGCATAATCTTTCTGATCCACAGCCTTTAAGCAATATCTGGTTTCGGACCCCCGGCCAAACAACCGTCCAGTGTCAGCGAATCAGCACGCGCTCCGTTTGAAATCCGTCACAATCAGACACGCCGGCGTGCGATTAGCCTTTCTTTCCCCACGCGTAAGAATCCCACTCCTACCTCTGCACTGAGGGCCTAACCTTCTGCTATCAGTATGAAATGGTACCAAAGCACAATCCCGACCAGAGGCATCCTGTCCAATCACACGCTTGAATCCACGACTAAAGGCACCTTCGCATTTGGTTATAGACACGAAAAAGCTGCAGTTTGCAAATCTTTTGGAGTTGTGTGTCACAGTTGCTTCTTAGATGTATGGAGCTTGGTTCAGGGGCGTGTCGAGAGGGATGGAAAAGACCGGCTTGGTTTTGTTTTGGGATTTTCTGTGTAGAAAGACTCGAGCTGTCATCAACAGACCCAATATCACAAATGTAACATCAGCTGTATTTTTACAAATCTCAGGTCCGGACAGTCGGAGGGTGGGTTTGTCTCCATGGTGTTAAGATTTTTAAAGCATTCAATTTCCAAATCAGCTGCCAATAGGTTCCTTAAGAGAAGAAAGTTCCTTTTCCTCATTAGCAAAGGGCTGGCACTTCATTTATCATTGGATAAGTAGAAAGGAGTGAACCTCCAGAAATGATATCTTTGTTTTAAAACACGTATATATGCAAGAACGGAATCAAAAACCAATCAAATGTTCTTATCTCAGCGAACCACAGCGCCACAACCCCCACGAATATAAAGAACTATGGTCTTATTCTCATTGTCTGAAAGGTGGGAAATAGGTGTGTGAGCAAAATGTGAATGAAAGAATTCAGTGACTGGCGGTTGATTTCAATTCTTTTCTCAATTGACGCTAATTCAGAAATAACATATCAGCTGATGAAACTGGACTTTTTGTTTCGTTCTGTAGGGCTTTAAGAAATAGGGGTTGTTCATCTGTTTGCGTACCGAACTGAAATGAAAGCGTTCTGTTTTAGGATCATACAGAGATGTGTCTGAGGCAGAGCCTGTTCACACATTCACATCCACCCCAACGATCAAAGTGAACACGTCTTTACCGGAGCAAAGCGGTAGAACTGGGTAAAAGAGGGGGGGTAGCTGCGGGATGCATTGGTCTGGATGGACGGGCCGCTCTCACGCTGCCATGTAGGTGGACTCTGGGGGAGGGTCAGCTTTGTTTCCCCAAGTGTCTCCGAAACAGCCGACAATCAGCCTTTTTCCGCCATAAAACGCTGGTTTCTGCGAGGCACCTCGAGTATCATCAGCGCGAGTAAGCCCTTAAAAACTAAACGTCTTTGAGTCTGACACGGTTTGACGGTTTGTGGAGGAGCTCTGCCCAAACTGCGGGGGAATAAACGCACGTGTACGTCTACTTTTTGAGCCATGCTCATCTCTCACAGTTCTTGAGAAATTAACTGGAAAGAAAACCAAATTTTCTGAATAGTCGATGATAATTTCTCAGGATGACGATAGGTCACAAATGACGGAATGATTCTGAGTTTGATAGCAGGGCTCCAAAAAAATGGTGGTAAGCACCCTTGGAAAACCTCCGCATGACTCATCGGTTTTGTGTTTTTGGATCTAATTTGTGACCCAAACACAGCGGTTATAAGACTTTTTATTTCTTTTTTTTTTACAAAAACCTTTAAAAATCATCTCAACTTTACTCCAGGTCTTTATTTATCCCAGGTGATTCTGGTCCGCTCACTTTTATTAGCATTTATTAGCATTAGCATCGCGGCATTTCTGTGGGTCTTGTCTTTTTCACGTCTCAGTTGGACTCCACTTCCCTTTTGTGTGTCTAGTTTCACGGAGAACCTCACTGAAAGATTTCCAATGGTGCTCACGGCTTTCTATGGTCTTCTTCTCGTCTCGTATCGCAGAGACCGCCAAAAAAAGGGGGTCGCCTCTCGGGTTCGACGTTAACCGCGAGCCTTCAAACGACGGCGTAAAGTCACTCGGCTCCCTATCTGGCTCGCTGTAGACGAAACAAAAAGCCATTTAAACCGGCCTGTATCTCGATGTGCGCGTCGAATTGTGGAGAGCTGCAACCAGACCCCCCGACTCCCAGGGCTGCCCACCTCTCTTCCCCGTCTCCCTCAAAGGGCGTTCAATATAGTCTGATGGCGGCGCGGGCCGAATCGTGTTGCGACTCTGAAGTGGATGGTCGGGGAGGATCTGGTTGCCAAACGGAACACGAGCCCTGTGGCGGAGGATTCCGGTCCGGCCGGTTGGTCCAGCTCCTCCATAAAGGCGGTTAAGCCCTCGAAGGAAACGATAAAGTTATGTCAGGCCTGTACTTTTTTCGGAATGGCGGCGTCGGTTGGCCCATGGAGTCAGAGCGTGCAGGGTTATCTCTGTCACCACTTTAGTTTTTTACTCGACTTTTTTAAATAGATTTTATAAGCTAACCGAACGGCTGGCTGCGTTTTCACGTTTTTTCAGAGGCGTCTTATCTGTTCTGTGTCTAATATCTGTATAGATATGAAATATCTGAGTGTTAAAAAAAAAAAGAAAAGAAAAAGCATTCAAAGTGGATGACCCACCTGCTTCGTGACATTTTTCGTCCTGTTCACAAATGTAAATTGGAATCGATTGTTCGTCGTCTGGCGCAGCGTCCAGTCTGAATTCTGCTCCGGTTAAAGGTTACCTGCTCCAATAAATAGTCACCACCCCCATCCCGAAAACTGAGTTCAAGCAAACAGGATATCTCGAGCCGAGCTGTTCATTTACTTCACAGTAGCTTCACGTTCACTCTAAAGACACTTTTTAAACTGTCCTAATCTTCTCATCTAACATTTGGGGAGGGAAACAGAAGAGCACATTTCCTTAAACGTCCACTTTTGAGCCGACCAGTTCGACAAGCCTACCGTTTCCCTTCTGTGACACAGGTTAATGCACTTTGGACGCTTAGATTGAGGTTGCAGACTGAGCCACAGGTAAGCCATATTTCCTACTGCTCCAGTGACAGCACATCTAGTATTTAAAGCTGACCGATGCTGGATCGAGACCGTTATCCCAGCAGTTCTACCTCCATCACTCAGGCACGCGACATATTTGGTGTCGTCTTTGTGTCAGATTCTGGGCGACACACAGAAACTTGTCAGCACTCTGCGGTTGTCTGTGACTAAACACCGGATTGGTCCACAGCAGGATTTTATAGATGTGTCCCCATGGCTTTGCTGTAGTTGCTTTTCTTGTTTCTTTTGTAAAGGGGTCTGTTCACTGTTCGACGTTTTTTTTTATTTTTTGGTGTATTTTTTAATGATCCGAACAGCAGCTCAAGGAGGACTCGTTTTTTGAAGGTGCTATGTGTAGTATTCTCTAACTGCAGGAAGCCTGTTGCTGTTAGATTCTACCTTTGATGTGGTGTTCCAGACATTAAAGTTTAAAAGATCCAACCGAATCCCGAAAAAAGGCACTTTTCTTTCTGGACAAAGTCCGCAATTCGGTCACTTTTGCTGCTTTATCAGCCGATCGGAGGGGAAATATTCAGAAGAAGTGATCAGAAAAAGAGCACATTTCCTGTTGTGAAGGGGCTGGTGGGGATTAGACGTTGTAGCACTTGTTGTTTGGCTGCTTAGTTCTGGGGAAATCCTACACACAACACCTTTAAGGTTAAGAAACGGCTGGTGTTCCTCTCACGGTCAAGACATTTGTCCAGATGTGACGTTTTTCTGTTCTTTTTTTTTTGGTGTCTCACTGAATTGTGTTTTTAAGAAATGTTTTCTGAAATAAAGAAACAAGTATGAAAATTGCAGACTTACAACTTTATCATGTACTTTATGCTTTATCAAAAGTGTATACTCATTGTGGGCAGTGTTTTCGGTAACGTTTGAGTTCTGTTAATTTATTACCTAAATGTTAAAACACTTGGTACAATACAGTATATATATATGTATATACATACATATATATATATATTTGAATATGATACTTTGCATGTGCGCTAATTGTGTTGAATTAAACTGCATTAAGTTCAAATAAAACGTGTTTGATGCCCATAAAGTCCGACTTTTTGGTCATTTGCTCTCTTCGGAAGATTAGGAGAGTATTAATTTTAGAAACTACAGGAATAATGTTGTGAATAAAAGTTTTTTTTTTTCAGAAGATGTGAAGGAGGGGTTCATTTTTAATCAGATGAACAGTCACATTTCATCTCCTTTTCCCTGTGAAGCCACACGCTGCAGCAGTGGGTCTTCATCAGCAAGACGAAGCAAGAAATAATCTTTTTCTTCATACATGGGAGCAGATATGATTTTAGGACTAATAGATAAATGGCTGTGTCGGGGTGAAGGGGAGGGTGGGCTGGTGAGGGGTGTAACAGGCACTGGGCCTGGATCAGCCCACATCTGTATTTGACTCTTTTTCTTCAGTTTTTGACAGATGGATTAGAAGATTCTTAGCCGCGATTGGCTCAGCGAAACACTAAAAACGAGCCGCTGGCCCTTGGTAGATTTACACCCGTGTGAGTTAGTGTTTTAACTATACAGACAGGCTCAGTATTTCTCATGAAAAGCCCACGACTCCGCCGGCCTGCCTGCTTTATTTTCAACGACATGAGAGCTTTACAGCTCCAGCTACGGCTGTGGGACTCGGAGGCCTTAGATTCTGTTAAATGGGCTTCATTTTAAATAAGCCCTTTCCCACGCTCAGCGACAGCCTCAGATATCCATCACACCCTCACCCCCTGGATTACATTTAGGCATTTTAATGTAAGACTACCACATTAGAACCGTATGCTCATTTGCATCCGTGCTGCATGAACATATTGGATCATTAACTCCAGAAATTCACTTCTCGTCCCTTTTTTATGTCCGCTTTAAAACAGTGTCGGGATTTATTGTTTTAATATTTCCTGTGCGAAACGTAAGGTTTTTTTTTTTTGTAGTCAGTGAGAGGTATTCAAAGTGCTGTAAAAATGAGCAGAAGGTGAGTCCTAAAGCACTGGCAGGATTTAATCTAGCAATGATTTGACCCTAATGCAGGAATGTGTTAGTCATGGATTTGTTAACAATCCTTCCACCTGAGGTAAAAGCGAGCCCACCGTGCTGCTCGGGCATTATGAAGCGTTGCACATCATTCGTTGTCGTGTGAATTAAAAAGAGACACAAAGAGATGAAAAGCTGCCAAAGGAAAGTAAAGGATCTGAGGGGTTAACGTGGATTCTTCAGCCCTGCTCGGCTGCTTACATAAAGCCGCTGGCAGCCTTTATGCAGCCTGCAGATATTCATCATCTCTGTTGAACAAACACAGCGTGAAAAGATAAAAATGAGATGTGGATCCGGAAATGGGATGGCACCTTTATGCAAAGCAACACAAGTGTGAATTTAAAAAAAGAAAAAAAAAAAGATAAGATCCCCATCTTGATGGGAATCTTGATCTTAATCAAGCTTTTACCAGAAATAAAAGCAGGGTTTTCTCAGTTATCTGCGGGGCAGATGGAAGCTGCTGTGCGGTGGAGGTGATTTTATCTGGCGTGACTCAGCCGGGGAGCACGGAGCGTTGTCTTTTTTATCCGCAGCCATTGTTGCAAACGCAAAAATGAGCGCAGTGCAGTCCTGCATCTTCAGAACTAGGAAGTGACTCCTCGTGTTCCTTTCACTTGAGCTGATGGTGAGCCGGCGCTTCCTGAAAGGAAAGCTTTGTGTCAGGACTAGTGCCCTCCCACCTCAGCATCACAACTCGCTTCTCTGGTTATGCCGCATTTGTAGATAAATAACATCACAGAAGATGGCAGTTTTTTTATTTGGTTTTCCTGTTAAGCTTTTGACCTTTATACCAGAGACTGGGAGAGTGTTTTTATTGGCTGTCCACCAGGATCTGGCAGTTGCTTCCTGTTTTGAGTTGAGGTACTTTTTGAGTTACCTTTTTACGGAACAGATTTGTTTAATGTTAAAATGTAAAAATATCACAGCTATTTCTTACTTATGTCTGTTTGTACATTACCTCTGGAAATAGTTTGGTTCTAGTTGTTACATGGGTACTTGTCAACCACAGCTACACTTACGAATGAATTTATCTGTTCTTTCTTAAAACATCTTTATTTATTTAAATTTTTTTTACTGTTTTTTTTTTTAAAATTGGGTTTAAGATTGGGTTCATCTCAATTTACTCCTGCAGAACTAACAGACCAATCACAGGCAGCAGCATCATTATTTGAGATATGGTGCATTTCACTGGGTGTTTAGATAATTTACCCTGTCATTAATGAGGGTTATTTTTGTATTTAAGTGAGTCGGTATGATGTGCCGAACCCTTTCATTTTTAGGGTTGTGATGGGGATGGGCGCAGAGGTCGCTCCCTGTTCTGCGCCCCCACGGCTTTCAGGCTGTAACCGAACACATGGGACGCCTCTGTTCTCCAGAAACCATCTGGACGCGTGTGCGTGTCCACGCCGGATGGATTTCCACCCGTCTCTCGCTGAATGCGATCCATTCACAGGTGGGACCCATAACTTGCCTTCTGACGAAACTCCGACAAGCACACACCGAGACCCGCAAAGCCGACACACTCCACCTGTATACAAATGAAATCCTCCACGTGTGGGAGGGACTCGGGCTTTTGAAATCCCAAAGGTTTCTGTCTCAGCTTCCTTCCCTTTAAGAAAAACACATGCTTTAAGTTAGTTACATATTGCCAGCATTGTGTCATCTTAATTTGCTCGAACACAACATTTCCCGTCTTGAATGAATACATTACTATTATGATCTATTTTCATTCTTCCCCCAGGATCGTTGTCCTCTTTTCCATGAAACCC